ACCATTCATGGAGTAATGCAATACATACCCCTATTTCCATAAAACCCTTGTCAACTTTAGTTGCCATTCATGGAGTAATGCAATACATACCCCTATTTCCATAAAACCCTTGTCAACTTTGGTTGCCATTCATGGAGTAATGCAATACATACCCCTATTTCCATAAAACCCTTGTCAACTTTAGTTGCCATTCATGGAGTAATGCAATACATACCCCTATTTCCATAAAACCCTTATCAACTTTGGTTGCCATTCATGGAGTAATGCAATACATACCCCTATTTCCATAAAACCCTTGTCAACTTTGGTTGCCGTTCATGGAGTAATGCAATATTGCAACTGTTTTGATAAAACTTTTGTCCATGCCAGTTAATCTGCATAATAGATTCTAATATTCTAAAATTTGTGTAATATGGAAGCTGTATGCTCTGAAGTCTCTGAGCTGTGTTGATCAATACTAGTCATTGTAAAAGGATGACATTTAATTTTACAGTACAGTACAGTACAGTACAGTACAGTACAGTACAGTGCAGTGCAGTGCGGTACAGTAACTTTAGTGTAACTAATTTAGCTAGCTTACAAAATTGTGCATAGTTATATGTTTCTGACTAAATATGTCTCTCATGAGATACTTCAATAAATACTGCAAGGAATTAGGTGAGATTGTAAAAATTTAACATTTTTTGAAGGGAAAAAACAAAGTCAGCTTGGGATTACAAACTACTGTATCTTATTTCAATAGTGATTCCTGTATGAAATCTGAACAAAATGTGCGATTTCAGCATATTATGGAAGTAGTTATCATTCTACATATATACGTCTGTCTTTGTTTGTAGCTTTCATTATTGTGTTGTTATCCATTCTTGCATGTTCATGTCAACACATCTAAACTTAAATTGCAGCATAGTCCCTCCACAAAGGGGTGTACTGTCACTTCAGCTGTATTTTTGTAGCTGTTCTTAATTCAACTTTTCAATTTATCAGCGACCAGGGCCAAATCGCGGAATGGGTATGGGTTATGGAGGAATGCGTCCCGGCATGTCTCCCATGGACCAATCACGAAAGAGACCAATTCCACATGATAACAGAAATAGACAACAAAGGTAAGTAATTAAGTTATTACAAATTGAGTGTTTTATTCTTATCTTTGATGACCTGCCTGTGATACAATGTATTGTGGGGTATCCATGTACAAGTTTCGTGAGTGATGTCATGTTTCTAGGAAAAGCAAAAGAATAGGTGTTTCTAGTTCTCAAACTCAATTGATGTCTGTGCTATCGATTCAGTAACATTTGCAGTTTACTAGGATTTATCTTTAATAGTCATCCCGGCAATTGAAAACAGATTTTGCGAAAGTAAATTTAGGAATCATGCAAAGAATTTTTAGTACATGTTCATGTAAGATTCTATTTTAGACTACTCTCAATATTGACACAAATACATAATATTATTATACATCTGTCACCATAATACAGCGTGCCGTAATTTTGCGGTATTTTACAGGGTATTTTCATCCTACCATATAAGGAAATGCGAGTTCCAAATATGGAATGATTACACGCGTAAGCGTCCTCTAATAATAATAAAAAACCATGGCTGCCATCAGGGTTTGACCGGTCTCCACACAAAGAAGTTCGGTAATTCTGTTCTAAACTTTTTGGATTTCGGCATTCCCATGATGTATCTGTGGAAGGTAAAGATGTATAATAATAAGGTTATTACGAGAATACCTCAAAGTATGGACTCAGACAGTATGCTGTGCAGCAACCTCCGCTGCGTGTCAGTCGATACTCCAGCTGTACTGTCTTCGTGCATACTTTGAGATATTCTCGTAATAACCTTATAGTATGCTACATGTATCAACACTGCTTACTAGGATTTATCTTTGAACGTTGTCCTGGCAATTTAAAACAGATATAGCTGATCTAATCGTGGAATCGTGCAAAAAAAAAATTGCAACTCCCACTACAAGTTTTTTTTAATGGCTCTGAATAGCAAAATGAATCATGTGAAAAGGTCAAACTTATGCCATGCTATACTATGATGGGTCAACTATTTAAGACTCGTCTTGATTTGACACAAATACATAATATAGTATGCTATCAACACTGTCTTCGTATGGTAGGTTTAGTAATAACCTGAATAACATATGTTGTCTGCAATTGTCAGTAATTGAAAGCAATATCATTTTGTATTTGATGACATACCGGTAATCATATGTATGACATATGGTTTTAACTTCATGGCTGATACTTGGAAAATATATGGGAATCATTTGTACTATGAATAATAACTGACTCTTTTATACATTTAGGTAGGCAATCTAAGCAATATGAGTTTTGTGTCCTTTCTAAATTTGAGTCCTACCTACCTAGTTCTCTAATTTTGTTGTTATTTTTGGTAAAAAGTGATATTTTCAACTTCTTGTTGAAAACTGCAAGTCTGATTGCTTTGATTATATACATATAGGTACTACAGGTGGACCTCTCTGTTTTGTTCATTTTGTGATGATATCTTTATTTCTCTAATTTTGATGAAACTTTTTGTCATTTTTAGTAAAAAGCGATATATGATTTCTTTGATATTATACATGTACATAAAGACACCTCAGGTTGGCCGATATCAGTTTATGTGATGATATCTTCAATTCTCCAATTGAAATGCTAACAGTGGAAAGGTTGCTTGTTTGTACATCTGACTGTACCATTGTCTAGTTATCATTACTGCATTTGCTATGTTCACACTGCAGCATTCTACCGAAGCCGAACTACTGCTGCTGTTGTGATATGTGTTACAGTTGTTAATCTAAACCTACCAGGAACATGTCACTTTACCGTGACCGTTTCTACAATTTTTATCTCGTGTGTCTTTAAAAAGTTTCTTCAATTTTCATTGGATCTGTTCAGTCTCTTCTTACAAGTTTTTGTCGCATAATTTTGTTCGCCATTTTTCTGTTTCCTGTTGACCTATCAATCTATCGCAGTATTTCTTTACTCTGCCAAATAGATATTAGAGGGCGTACCTCTTCGTCAAATCGGAAATTGCGTGAAGTCATAATTAATAGATGTTACTCGAAGAAGACTATTGAGGGCATGATTTGGGCTCCGATAGTTGGGCCCTGCATGTGCACAGTCAGGGCCATGTCGGGGATCAACCCTATCGTAATTCAAATCCATGGGTTTATTGGAGTTGAAATTGGTTCGAGTAGAACGTGTAAACACGGCCATTTTTGCTGACTCAAGCCGTAGGGCTCAGATATAACGCTGTCGTGTGAACATAGCAATAGTTTGTTGTGTATACATACCTAATGTGTAATCAAGGATTATAATTTAGATATTTAAGTGCACATTTGTAAACAGATGTGATATACTCTATTTATATAAGGGAGTTAAAAAAAATGTTAGCATAAGTTTATCTTGTGAAAATGTTCAACACTGACTGTATATCATCGTCAATGACTTAGTTGTATATTTTTTACAGTTAAATTTCTATTGTACCTTTTGGTTTTACCGAATCATGTTTGTTACAGACATACTAAGTCCAATCCTTCCTTCCTTCCCCCCCTCCCATCCCATCCCTAAATATTTAACAGGCATGACAGAAATGCAGAGAGTCATAAACCACAGAGGTAGGTTTGTTGTATTGCCTTGAAAGCTACTTAAGTTATCCCAAAACCGTCTGATTATGTTTTACATGTTTGCCTGTAATGTATGCCTATACAAATGTATGTATTTATTAATACTTGTTGGCTCATTTTTAGTTAATTGTCATTTTTTGTGTCCTGTGATTGGCTTATGATACTTTCATGGATATGTCTGTGATTGGCTGATTTTATACTTGCATAGTCCTGTCTGTGATTGGCTGATCATACTTGTATACCTTACTCAACCGCAATAGTGCCCAGGGTCCTCAACTCAGAAAATTGTGATTTTTTAGGGGTGGGCGCTTACCTGAGCACCCTCCTCAGAAAAGAGTGCAAATGACATGTGACAGATTGAGGGGAATATCAAGTCTTTGAAGGAAAATATAATTACGAAATTAGTTACGTCATTATTGACTTTTACAATGAAGAAACAGAAATGTCACAAAAAATATGCACATTTCATTTCGTCATTATCTTCACTCCACAACTCTTGATGAAAAGCACTTTTCGCCATGATGTATTCATGATTTGACCTGCAACAACGTCATTTGACCTAATGGGTCAAGTCTGTTAACAATCAGAATGCTGTGTTGTACCGACGCAATTCTTCATAAATTTCTGGTAACGCAATGCGAAAGTGATTACCAGTATTCGTTAAGCAATGAGCAATAATCAAGTTTTAAACTAGTGGCATTTTGAAGGGGTGGGTGCTTTGCCGAATGTGACTGCCAATATAAAAATTGCGCAAAGATGGGGGTGGGCGCTTGACTGTGCATGGGCTCTAACGTGGTCGAGTATGGTACATGTAGTACCATTGTGATTGGCTGATATGATCCTTGTATAGATATGTCTGTGATTGGCTGATTTTATACTTGCATAGTCCTGTCTTTGGTTCGCTGAGCATACTTGTATAGTACCATTGTGATTGGCTGATATGATACTTGCATAGATATGTCTGTGATTGGCTAATTTTATACTTGCATAGTCCTGTCTTTGGTTCGCTGAGCATACTTGTATAGTACCATTGTGATTGGCTGATATGATACTTGCATAGATATGTCTGTGATTGGCTGATTTAATGCTTAGTCACTTTTGTGATTGGCTGATATGATACTTGCATAGATATGTCTGTGATTGGCTGATTTAATGCTTAGTCACTTTTGTGATTGGCTGATATGATACTTACATAGGTACATGTATGGGTGTGATTGGCTGATATGATGATACATACATATAGTGTTGTCTGTGATGAAGTTTTCATGGAATTCACTTTGGGCATTAATACTTTGTGTAATCAGAAATCTGAAGGGTTTCATGTACTGTATTGGATTTTCAACCTTGTCAGAACCGTGTATTTTAGTTGAAATTCTGGTATGATGGGATATTTCATCATATCTTCTTAACTTCAGAGGTGGATTATGAAATTTTGTTAAGCTGTCAAAAGATGTTGTAACCCAGACTGTATCCAATTTACATTTTTTTAGTAGGAAGAAAAAGAAGATTGCAGACAAAGTGCTTCCCCAGAAAGTACGTGATCTCGTTCCTGAATCACAGGCTTATATGGATTTACTAGCATTTGAAAGAAAACTAGATTCCACTATCATGAGAAAAAGATTAGACATACAAGAAGCACTGAAAAGACCAATGAAGGTAACATTATGTTATTATTTCTGACTTCAAACTTAAACTAGTGGCCATTTCCGTCCTAAAAAACGTAACATTGTCTGCAACCACAAAACAATGTACTTTTAATTAGTGCAGGCACAGGACCAGCTGTCGGCCAACCCTGAGCGGGCTTCCTTTTTGACGACTCATAAGCTGGCTTTCCTGTCCGTGCCCATGCAAATAAAATCTGGTAAATGATTAAATTATATTATGATTATTAAAAATAGCATGCATGTCAGTTAGGCCAGACTTTTATTATTCTATGTTTCGCGAACCAGCCAAACAAACAGGAGCTCAAAATTAAATAAAAATAAAATTTTATTTCAGCATAATTTCTCGCGCCCGCTGACTTGTAAGCGCAAAAAATTGCTCAAAAAATATTATTTTTATCTTCATTTTTTTACCTCCCGTCGCATACTAAATCCAAGTTGCATTTTCGTGGGAGTATCATGATCAAAGTATCGAAGTCTCGCGCAGATGAGGAACAAAGTTATACATGGAATAAAATTTCATTTATTTCTTCTCTCTTACAATTCTCTGAGAATCACACAAATCTAATGGAAAAAAAAAATTAAACAAAATTGCCTTATAAAAACTCGAGAAACAAGGAATAAAAAAAGTCTGGCCTTACTAGTTTTGAAATTTTTAAAGCACTGACCATGTTGTCACAATAGATATGCCATCGATATAATTTTTGGCAGAAAACATGCCAGATAGCTGGGCCATACATGGTGTGACCTCTTTCTAGTTTGGCTAATATAAACCTAGATATGATGCAAAAAACAGGTTTTAAATAGTGTAAATTGACCATAGTATAAAGAGCCATATTTCCTGTTCAACAGGGATACTTGGGATATAATCATATGATTCTCTAATATAGAGACAGATCTGTGATAAAATAGCGTGTCTGAGTAGGATAGTTTGTTGACATCAAATTTCTCATCTCATCTCATGGATGCTTGTGGCAACTATGTAAATCTTTTTGAATGTATTCATCGTGTATGTATTATGTCAATCGGATTAGGGGCTTTGCATGGCCACTCGTGTACATAGCCTCTAACTATATCTGACCAAATAACCGCGCAAATTACATTTACCGGGGGTATGTATTTTCTCTCTGACGAGTAGACAAGTTGCACACACATATAACAGAAAATGGAATTGGTTTTGGAATCAGTCTTTGATGATCCAGTTTGTTCCACATTTTAACGAATTGAATACGCATAATTGTGTTTTTCCAACCAACTTACAACCTTCACCCCCCTCACAAAATATCTTAGTATTAGTATGTACTGATAGCAGAGTCTGAGCTTCAAAACTGTCTTATTTAATTGTAGTATAAATATACCTGATAACTTCATCTCTGGTTTCCATAACCGCGAGTTATAAACTTGAATTAAACATAGTGTAATCTTCATGTAAACTTGCTTATATATGCATGAGATGCCTGGCATGTTATGTACCGGTAGCTTCGTTAAACATGCATAATACATGCATATCCTACAGCTTCTCAAGGTATCAGTCTTTAAATATTGATGTGTGATGATCATATATTGTTGAAAAACAACCAAAATCCTTCAGTTCAATTTGAACTTCATCACTATGCATGCATTTATTACCTGGACAATGGTGTATTAGTGCACCCACCTCGCATCAGGGAGTGTCTGATTACTATTCCCATAGCTGACTGTTCAGTCAGACCTATAAAGCAGAATACAGTCAGCCCTGCCTTACAATCACATGGTATTACAAAGCTTTATGTTTGAAAATGTCTCCTGGCACAAAAAGATTTAAAAAATAATAATTATTTATTAGTTATTTGATGTCAAAATTCTGCTACTAGTTTTCAGATACGGTCTTTCTTTTTTTTTGAAATCTTTCACATGCATAATTCTGAACTTCATTCCTTGGATACAGCAGCCATTGTAAGACTAAGCTTGAGATTTCCCTCAGACATGAGTGCGGAGCATCTCGTGCTGGAGGGCTTATGATATCTTGGGAGGTTGTATGACTCAGTGGTGGAATTATTGATAATACATAACTGATTACTGTAAACAGATTTTAATTTTAATTGTGTGAGTCTGGGAAACAGAATAATGTTGTAGCAGTGTAAATTTCGTTTTGAATGTTTATGGGTGGGTTGATTCTTTTGATATAAACTATTTAATTTTTTTTTTTATTTTTGAAGAGGAAATATCAATGTTATAGTGAATATTTGAACTTCCCATTTTCAGGGAAATACAATGTACACTTAAAAACAAGTCAAGAATATTACCTTTATTAAGAATTTATCATTTTTAGGACATTTTTTTGCAAAACAAATTATTTTTCATTTCAAAAAGAACACAAAAGCACACAAACTGTAGTTTGAATAATACTATTTGGGTGTTCCACTTGCATAATTAATAAGGATTGCAAATCCATCAATATAAGTATACGAGAAATATGTAACCTTTGACTCAACAGAGAAAAACTTATTATATTAGGCGGTTTGAAAAATGGCAATTCTGGTAAGAAAAAAGGTGATTATGCAAATTAGCAAATATCTCTGTTTATTTTTTAAATTCAATTTGAGATAACTTCAGAACCCTCTTTGTCTGAATTTTTTGTCATTTTCAAATATCCGCCACCTTGTATTTCTCCACAGAGCAATAGAATTAAATGTAAAACTTGCATAAGTGTAATTATATTAAATATCTGATTATCCATTTTTTATTGATTGCAAACTTATCCAGACATTGTTTTTACTGTTTTGAAAAGGTAAAAACGAGTACATTTTTGATAGGCTGCCATATCCAGGTAACAAGGCATGTCTTAAACATCATCTTCGTCATCTGTTGCTCGTTTAAAAAACATGGTTAAAAAGGTACATTTCATCCTTAGCACAGCGGAGTCACACGCAACAAAAATAAAATATGATATATTGTTATTTAGCTGTTAGAGAAAAGAATCCTCATTGTGGTACATATTTATGCAAGACATATTTTAAAAATGGCATCGTCTTGTAAGCTCAACGGCATCATTTACGTTCATGTAAGAATATACACTTAATGGTATGTTATTATTTTGCATCTCCCTGCATACCAGCAACAGATTGCCTTCTATTTTAATCATTCCATATTCTTGAATGACATTTTATTTTACTTTTCTTTATTCTCAGCAAAAACGCAAGTTACGCGTGTTTATTTCTCACACCTTTTATCCTGGTAAACCAGATGCTGAAGAAGATGAGGGCAATATACCTTCCTGGGAACTCCGGGTAGAAGGCAGGCTTTTGGATGATGTAAGTTCAGTCAAGGTGTTACAATTTTACATTGTAGCACAGTGTGCATTTGTGTGTTCGGGATTTAGTAGCTTAAGCTCAAATATCAATTTTTCATGATTTTGACTGAATTTTTGTAAACCCCCTGCAAAATGTTGGCCCAGGATATTCTTGGTCACTATAGTTATTTCTAAAATTCCTAAACTGCACTTTATTAGCAAAGCACACAAGAGAAATAATTGTCTGATATGTCTGTGTGTTTGTCTGTACAAGTAAATTTTTCTGAGTTGATCAAATTTAGTACATAGGCACCTTGGGATAATGCACAGACATGATTCGTTTTTGGCCAAGTGTGTGCAAATTTGCATATTTATTATCTCATTTAAGGCTGTGTAAGCAAAATCTCAAAATTGTATTCGGTACATACATGTAGGTACTATGTGGTATTGTGCGGACATGTTTATGTTTACAGTCATGACCATGCATATTAAGTGCTAATTTGCATATTGTCCCATTTTAGTATGTAAACAAAATCTCAAAAACTTCAGAATTGATTTTGATCAAATTTGCTGTTTATTCATGCTGAATTCTGCTGGCTGATGATCCTAATCTCTAATGCCATTGCTTCTTCACTGATTGTTGGGAATTTTCCTACATATTTCTTCATAAATACATATATTCTGTATCAACACAGAAGCTTGGCAGAGTTTTACTTTGATTTATAGCACATGATTTGAAAACTGTTGTCATAAAATAAACCTTTATAATTGTTCTCATATTTTTTCTACTATTTTGATTAAGAGTTGAAACCAATAGGAAATTAATTATCCAAGATCATCAAAAAAAATATACAACAAAAAGGCAAAACATTTCATCAAAACTTAAAAAAACGTTTTCTGTAGTAATATATATGTACATGTAGTATGTTTTGTTCTAACTGTATTTTTTTCTCATAGCCAAATGCCCCAAAATATGACGTGAAGACTAAGAGGAAATTTTCTTCATTCTTCAAGAGTCTTGTAATAGAATTAGACAAAGACCTTTATGGTCCCGACAACCACCTTGTGGAGGTAGGTTACCTAGCTATTGTTTTAACTGACTGTGATTGTGATAATCACTGTCAAATTTATGAATTGTTACTGTCACTGTTAACATGATTGATAACTGTACATGTTGTTTATTTCAGTGGCACCGTACAAGTACCACAACTGAAACAGATGGATTTCAAGTTAAAAGGCCTGGGAATGAGAACGTCAAATGTACATTACTTTTACTTCTTGATCACCAGGTAATATTTGTATTTCTGTATTTCTTGCCTGTGATATAAAGGTCATATTCATTTACAAATGGCATGTAATTTGTATACTTAACTGACATTATACATTTTGAATCAACTAATATTCAGTGAACTTGAATTATTGACTGAACTTGAATTAACTAACATTGACAGTATCCAACACTGTATGAGCATGAATAAACTAGCACTGAGCTAATGTGAATGACTTAACTAGTACTGAACAATAGCACTGTCTGAACATAAATGGCTTAACTAGCACTGACTGAATATAAATGTCTTAACTAATCATAACTAAACAAGGTTATCTCAGATGTAGCATGAATTAACCAACAATAGTGCTACAATCTAAGAAGACGACGTTTTGCTAAATTATCGACCTCTTGTATATTACCAGTATTAAAGTTAAAAACACGGAATAGCTGAATTGGTTAAAATAATACAGTCTCATACAATATCTTCTGCTTCTATTTTATTTTAGCCACCTCAGTACAAATTGGATTCTCGTCTTGCCCGTCTTCTAGGCGTTCACACTCAAACTAGGCCAGTTATCATTAATGCTTTATGGCAGTACATCAAAACACATAAATTACAAGACACAAATGAAAGAGAATTCATTAATAATGATAGATATTTCCAACAGGTAAGTGTTTCAAAGTTTATCTTTCGTACCATCTAGATTTGAATATTAACAATATAACACGTCTCCATAATTCACAGAGGCCATGAAGGTTGTTTAGCATGTGCATGTCAGTGTGAAGCAGTGAATGTTACCAAATATTTCCTGCGATCACACTTAAATTATGAAATTGCTAACATTCTACCGGTGAATATGTCATACCGGTAGTTATGTTCTTACAGTACCGGTAACCCAATCGTTTTGATATTGATATGGACTTGTATACGATTGTGAGATGTGTAAATCACGGTCCACCAATTAATTACAGTTGTACAATGAATGTTATAATACTGATACAATTGCAGATTTTTGGTTGTCATCGTATGAAGTTTTCTGAGATGTGTAAATCACGGTCCACCAATTAATTACAGTTGTACAATGAATGTTATAATACTGATACAATTGCAGATTTTTGAATGTCATCGTATGAAGTTTTCTGAGATGTGTAAATCACGGTCCACCAATTAATTACAGTTGTACAATGAATGTTATAATACTGATACAATTGCAGATTTTTGAATGTCATCGTATGAAGTTTTCTGAGATGTGTAAATCACGGTCCACCAATTAATTACAGTTGTACAATGAATGTTGTAATACTGATACAATTGCAGATTTTTGAATGTCATCGTATGAAGTTTTCTGAGATGTGTAAATCACGGTCCACCAATTAATTACAGTTGTACAATGAATGTTATAATACTGATACAATTGCAGATTTTTGAATGTCATCGTATGAAGTTTTCTGAGATTCCCCAACGATTGCATCCTTTGTTACATCCACCCGATCCAATAGTTATAAACCATGTGATTACAATAGAAGGAGGTACTGATCAGAGGAGAACTGCTTGTTATGATATCGATGTGGAAGTGGTAAGTAAATTGTATCATTGAATATTTATTAAATGAATTGTAATCATCAAAAATACTATTGTCAGCAGTGTGTATGCTGCTGAGTTTATATATCTTTGGCTTTGATACACTGTAGCAGTGAGTCAGTCCAAAGAAAGCGTGACATGTGGGTTGTAGATTGATTGTTAGCTGATGTCACCAGCACTTTTGATGAAGAAACAAAAGTCTCCGGATGTTTATGATTCTGATTCACGCTTTGCAAACTGTGATTATATACATATTTGTTGCATCATGCAAGTTCATCTTGGTTAAAAAAAAAGTTGTTCTTGATACTGGCATGATAGCCATGTTCTCGTTCGCATGTTCTCTATATGGTTCTGTATTTATTTACACTTAATGTTTTACATTAAATGTTGGTTATGTGCCAAAGACTTCAAACAAAATTTTACCGACAATACAACTTGTTAGAAGGATGAAAAACATGAATCTATGGAAAGCACTGTTAAAAAGCACTCTAAAAGAATACAGACATCATTTGTATCGTAGTGTTTTTATGTATTTAAATCACTTTCTTAATGTTTTATTTGTGCTGAAATGTTAAGCGTGTAGCCAACGCTGTCTAAATATTGAAAAATTACCAATAATAGTAAATGTACCTTTACTTCAGTGATCAATATCCTGCCCTCTGGTGGCCGAAAATTATCTTATTTCTGACTTTTGGAAGAGACCATTGTGAACAGCGCCCCCACAGAACTATGTTGCATTTTGATTTTGTTTTTTTCATTCAGGATGACACATTGAAAGAGCAAATGAAATCTTTCTTGCTTTCCACAACTAGTCAACAAGAGATAGCTGCCCTTGATAACAAGGTAAGGGTCTGTATCCTACTAAAATTCATCTGATTGTGGCTTCATGCATGCTGCATCCAATGTAAAATTTAAAGTGTGTGTAACTATTGACGTAGTTAGCTGCATGATGTGTGGCTGCAAGGTTTGTTTATGTGTTTTTTTTTATCTCAGTAATTCCTAATTTCAACATATAAATATCGTGGTATCGGATCTCACAGTCACTTGTGCAAATCAATAATTAATTTAATTATCGAACAGTCATGCAGCGCACGTTTAAATTATGTATGTTGTGTACTTCAATCGAGACCCATATGAAATACAACAAGATGCAATGACTGAGGTTTTCTGGATTCTGATCACTCAAGATTTGTACAGATTCTAGTGAAGTCTGGTACATGTGATAGTGAACAACAAAAGAAGTGATATTTAAATTAAATTCAAATTCCATTAATCAAGTCAATATTTTTGATTGTAGATCCATGAAACGGTGGAGACAATTAATCAACTAAAGAATCAACGTGAGTTTATGTTGTGTTTTGCCAGAGATCCACAGGAGTTTATAAATGAATGGTTGATGTCACAATCTAAAGATTTAAAGGTAAGCTTTTGTTGTGCATTGGTTGTATGTAGGTATGTAACAATGATATGTTTGTTATTGTTATCAATTTATTCTATACAATTATATATGGGAATTTTGAAACAACATGAAAGATGTTGAAATGAATTCTTGTTAATTACTCCCTGTTTGGACGGAAGTCCGAAAACAAAATTTATGTATTGACCTCCAGCTGACTGTACACTGAACATAATAGGATATTGATTTTTTCAAATTGGATTAATAACGGCTGACTGGTTGCCATTTTGTTTTAAAGAATGCAGTGTCTGATCCATAAATTTCAACATTCCTGGACCGATGTCAAAGTTCACACGTACATTTTTGTCACTATCAAATCAAAAACTATAGACTGGTGGTTTTATACATCAGGTTATATATATTTATCTTGCATCTATAAACAAACAGCGACTATATCATCGACAATAATGTTAATATATGTCTCATTTTGTGTTTTTTCAAGACTAGCATAAATGTGTCTGTTTCTTATATGTAGTTGCATTCCGAGATAATTTATAAAGCTCTATTAGGAGATTTATGTGAAATTTTTAATGGCCTGGACAGTTTAACTGTAATGCTAATCTGTCAAAAAGCATTCTATTTTCATCTTCTCTGGTCAAAATGAAAAGCAAAAAAAATTATGACATTAGTGTCAGCCATATTGGCTTTGAAAAGAGTGACCTAGCGAGTCAAAAAGTTAAAGATAGATCCCTGCATGGAAACATGTCATTAGAATGGCATTCCAAGATGAGTGTTTTTTGTTTTCCAAACTGAATTTATTACTACTTATTGCTAACTGTATTTAGATCAAAAATAAATATGTGTCATCGTAACCAACCGTCCAAATATATGGCTTCTAACTAAATTTTGAAGTTGCCAAATTGTAACACAAACAACAGTTAGTAATGTAGTGTAAACTATTCTTCTCATTGTTTTATATGTGGTCTCAACAGATTATGACAGATGTTGCTGGCAATCCAGAAGAAGAAAGACGGGCAGATTTTTTCTTCCAGCCTTGGGCACAAGAAGCCGTGTCTCGATACTTCTATGGTAAAGTACAACAACGTAGAGCTGAACTGGAACAAGCATTGGGTATCAGAAACACTTGAAATCTTTGATTTCCGTTATTCACTCTATCCGTGCAGCACTGCTACAAACAGTATGTTTATTATGTTGTTTATAAGGTACAAGCACAGTTTGGCTGAATTTGCATTCAATTTTAGAAAAATGAAGTAATCAACATGTATTGATGTGAAAAAATAGTTAAATTGTGCATACAATCATAAAAAAAGCTTGTTTAGATGTAAAATTAAATAATTACAAGTGTTTTATTTTATTTTATTTAAAAAAAAACAGAAATATGCTTTTCAACAGAAATTTTGTATCCTGATGTAATTCTACTTTTGAAAGATAGATTTTATATAATGTTATGCTGTTTGTATTTCCTGATGTTTCAATAATATTTGCAGATCAAATATAAGTGTCAATTAAAAGAGTTGGAATATTGATATCATGTATATTTTGCACCCATAAAGTAAGATAAAGTGGACAGAGATAGAAAACTCATTTCTTGCTAATGGGCCACACTGTAAAAAGTAAAAAATCTGTTTTGTCTTACTTGTATTCAGACTGCATGAATGATATCTACAAATAAAGTTGAATAATTAACCCCTAAGGCCAAATAAAAAAAAATAATGCATCTCCAACCTTGCCTACATTTTTCAGGCCACCTCTGTATTTTTTTGTGGCCAATGGGCACTTGTAGGTACATCTTTCAGCTCTACTTGAAATTCTTAATTTTTTAACCAAAATGTCAACCTGTTCATGCAGGATGTGGTATTATTATTTAAAAACACTCTATACAACAGTATGGGCCAAGCAGCATTGTGGGATAATAAATTGATTAATTTTCATAAAATAAAATAATACCGTACTTTTGATTTCAATATTACAAGTAAAACAGCTTATTTTATTTGGCCCAACTGTGATTGTATTAGCTTGTGCTAAAAGAAGTTAATTGTATTGCTAATATTCCGCTAGTGAAAGGTTTTGTTGTAGTAAAATTTACAGCGATATGCTGAATAGTCTTATTATTTGTATCTTTTGTCTTATCTGTCTGTAGTATTTGTATGTAATACTTTTATAAGAATAGTAACATTGTATGAATGAAATATTATAAACTTGTTGTGAGATTGCTGATTTCAAAATCCATGTTTTAATAACTGCAAGGTATTGTTTGTAAGTACATGTATCAAGTAATGTAAACCATACTGCCAAGTCATCTTTCCAGTTTTTGAAATGAATAAATATAATATTTTGTAATGCAAATTGTGCTTTTCATAATTCAATTTTTGTCTTAAGTTTGAAACCTCTTTAAAGCTCCGTTGTCATCGTAGATGACAGAGTGAAGCTGGTTAATATAGATGATTGTCCGTCAACAATTATATTTTCGACTTATTTTTGAAAACTACCAGCTCAATTGGGTTGATACATTTTATGTAGGCACCTTGGGTAGACCTGTGTCAGATTTGTTCATTTCTTGATGTCTTCCATTCTCTTCCATTTATTTTTGACTCTCGTGTGCGAAGCATTCTTTCAACACCACAAATTATAAATTCTCGTGTACTGCAGGGATCTGTTCTTGGTCCCTTACTTTTTTGCACCTACATTCCTCCACTAGGACAGCTTATCAGACAACATAACCTCTCCTTCCACCAATACGCAGATGTTAACTAGCTATATCCATCCTTTGCTCCATCAGACACTTCATCCTCAATTGACATATTGGAAACATTAGTTTGTGAACATTAAATCGTGGATGATGACAAAACTGAAGCCACGCCCAGTAAACCACACCTCTGTTGGGTCAAGTACAATCCAATTGGCAGAGTCAGCACGCAATATTGGAGTCATCTTTGATCATCACTTCACCTTCAAGAAACACATAGCTGCAACAAGTTGTTCTATCTATTTTCACCTTTGTAAATTTGTACATAAACGCCACTATCTCACCAAACACACCTGCCAAAAACTTGTTCAAGCACTACTCTGTACTACACTCGACTATGGGAAATGCACTTCTCTATGGATTGCCATCAGACCATATCAAGCCACTTCAACATGCACAGAATGCAGCAGCCAGAATTGTTTAATATGCATAAGAAGAAACATGACCATATAACACATATCCTTAAAGAACTTCACTGGCTTTCGGTACAGCACAGAATTGTTATGTGCACTACCCACAAAGCTCTAAATAGCCTTTCACCAAGTTACATATCTGACATTCTTCACTTCAAATCAACTCCTCACACACTCCGCTCTTCAGCCAAATGCTTTTTGCATACTCCCAACTTCAGACTTGTAACATCTAGTGGGTGAGCATTTTCCCAAGCAGCTCCATGAACTCTTTACCAATAGAATTGCGTCAGAAACCTACAATAGATACCTTTAGAGAGAATCTTAAAACTCTCATATTTACTAGAGTCTTTGACAAAAACAAATTGTACAGCACCTCTGAACAATAGGTCGTATTGGATACTGGCATATATACATTTTATTGATTGATTGATGGAAGTACACAATGGGAGTCTTTGCAGTTTATTAATTACCTAATTTGCATGATAATTAGCTAATTTTTAGCTGTTCCATGACTGTTCCACTGATATCTAAAGAACCACTCATTGAATTTTGATGAAACTTGGTAAATGCTCTGGGACAATGCGTAGACCTAATTAGTTTTAGGTTGAAATCCATGCATATTAATTACTAATTTGCATAATGATTTGTCACTTTTCTACTGATATCTCAAGTACTAATCATCATATTACAATGAAGAGATCTGTTAAGTTTCATAATTAGTAAATTTGTTGGTCTTTCCACTGATATTTCAAGTACTAATTATTACATTTCAATAAAACTTGGTACATAGATGCTCTATGACTTCACAGACCTGATTAGCTTTGGTTAAAAATCTGTACATAATAATTATCTTATTTGCATATTGATTAGTAAATGTTTTGGCTTTTTCACTGATATCTCAAGTACTAATCATCACATTACAATGAAACTAGTTACATAAATGTCATAGGACAATGCACAGACCTGATAAGTATTGGATTAATATTCATGCATATTAATTACCTAATCTTTATAATTAGTCAATTTTTAGCTTTTCTGCTGATGTTTCTAGTACTAATCTTAACATTTTGACTTAGTACATATATGCTCCATGACTATTCACAGACCTGATTAGTTTCAGATTAAAAATTATTATTTCATTAAATATTTATAATTGTTATACCATAGCTACTTCGAACCCCCCAGATCATTGCTTGCTGTTATATTTTTAAATGCTGTATTTGCTCTAATAACTTTATGCCTCCAATACCTTCAGCACACGGAAGTTTTTTCTAAGCTTTCTTTGATTGGTGAATATTTTTGGTAACAAAATGCTATATTCAGCTTCTTCTTGAACACTACCAACCTGATTGATAATATTCAAGGTGTACATTATTTGTATGAACAATTTGTTCTCAACTTAGCTTCCACAATGATGTTCTCAGACAGCTGAGCTGAGCTATTTTGACCGTCAAGTCATGCGCAAATTGTATGTTTTATATTGCCACTAGCCAACTACTATCACTTATTTGGATAATGTCTAACATAGAAACATAGTCAGCTGGCATACAAGTGACAATAAAATATTAAAATGCGATTAATTTACCAACTATAATGAGGGAGGGGGGGTACAAATCAGGGAAAAACTTTCACAGCCAAACGATCTGTTTGAGCAAAATTGAGCCTAATTTGTGGTTTTTGTGTGGAAAAATAGTAAATATTATTAAATTAATCTAATCATACTTATTTTATTATCACTTGTACGCCAGCTGACTGTGCAAAGACAAATTATACATTTATCGCTATTTTCACCGTAGTTCAGTAGTTTTTATATACTAAGAATTTGCTGTGAGGGTGATTGTTTCGAAAACTATGAAATTGAAAGAGTCAGCAATTCGTTGCTATGGCAGTGCACATCACTGAATGTACATAAATGCAATTTACTGTATGCTTTGTAATTTGCTCATGAATAATTCAATGTATAACATTTGACAGTGACATGACCTTTCTGACCAGCTTTTTCCCCAGAACCTCCATGGGAAATCCAATAGCTCAAGTCTTTAAAGGCTCTATTTGCAGCATGGTCCGAAGATGTTCACTGATACATGTAACTCGGCTGCCTTTCAAGCTGACTCAGTAACCTTGTAGACTGCCCCCCCCTCGCAATATTTATTCCACTAGCTTCCAGTTGTGGCTGTACATACACATGCATTGGCCACCACACATAGTCTATCACGGTCACTCAGGCCCTGAAATCATGGCTAGCTAACATTTAAGCCTTTGTCAATTCTCTAGTGTACCTTGATAGGGCTGAAACTGGACTTATAGTGTAGCTCTCTGTGCATGTGGTTGTGCATTCAGAGCTGTATCTCAGAGACCCCTGGACCAATTCCCTTCACATATAGATTTCAGGCACATGTTAGTCGATGTACATAATGGCCATTTTGTTTATGACAAATTTTATTTTAGACGTATACCTCGTACATGTCAAAATTTGGCCCAACAAAACCTACTTTTTTTAGCTCCGCTGTCGACTTTGTCTAGCGGAGCTTATCATATGAGTGATTGTCCGTCGTCGTCCGTGTCAATGTTTTACTTTTTCAACTTCTTCTTGAAAACTACAAGCCTGAATGCTTTGATACTTGGTGCATATGTACCTTGGGTAGACCTCTCTCAGATTTGTACATTTCATGATGATATCTTCAATTCTCTAATTTTGGTGAATATTTTTGTAATTTTTGGTAAAAAGTGATATTTTCGACTTCTTGTTAAAAACCTCAAGTCCAATTGCTTTGATACTATACATATTGTTCATTTTTTAATGATACTTTCTGTTCTTTAATAGAAATGTGCATTGCTAACAGCGGAGCTATCTCAGCCGAGAGGCTGCTTGTTAGTTTTTCCTAAAATAAAATAGGTGCCTTAATCTATGAAATTTTCAGTGAAAAGCAACCCATTTTAACAAACGGCACAGTCCTTCATACATGCGTGAAAAAACATTCCATGAGAGAAGTGTAAGAAATGTATCCCACGTATTGTTACAGTACTTCTTTTATTAGAAATACATTCAATATTTCATTAGAAATGCAATAAAGAATTCATTTGATATACCATATAATTTGTTCCATTACAAATTTATGTATTTTCTCTATTAGAAGCTCTCAAGCATATATAAAGATGTTTTATGATCAAAATAAGTAATTTTTTAATGATTCAGTATACAGCCAATACAATTTTGGGCTTATATGCACTTCTAATAGAGTAAATACTCTAGTTTTGAATGACCAATCCAATGTACTATAAATAGTTACATTAGGCACAAAAAAAGGGGTGGTCAATTCATATTTATTTTAAAAATGGATTTTTTAGTTTTGTTTATTCAAAAATAAATTCAAACCATGATACACACACAGTTAAGCATGCGATTGGCCAGGAATTTGATTTGCTTTTTAGCCTTACAAATGTACAATATTTTTGAATGTTTCTTTACACATGTTCTCACAAGTCCAATACATATTAAAGAAAAATCATGTTTCAGCCTCACTGAGCATTACAAAAATATACTCAACAAGCCCTTTCCGACAATCAGCTAACTGTTGCACAATTTTGTCATGTTTATTCAAAGGCCCACACCAATGGGTTTTGATTTATTGTATTTAAAAAAAAAAACTGTTTTACCAACAGTTCTGTAAATTTCATTTTAGCTCAGTAAAAATAGACCAAAACATTACGAAATAACTTCTACTATATTGTTCCAGCAGCATCAACCATTTTCCAACTTTAGGAACAAACAGTAATTAGAAACAAGAAAATTATTCACTTAATTATAGTTTCATATGATATTAATAACAGACAAAAAGACTTTCTCCTGCAAATCATTTTCTTTGTATGATTGTTAGAAATTTCTGTTACTTTTTAGCAATATAATTATTGATAAAGACTTTAAAATCAAAGCTGATTTTGGACCAAATCTCATCATTTGATAGTTTTAAACAAGCAGACAAAGTAAAAGACAAGCATGAAATGAGAGAAAAGTTTACAATGATAAAGACAATGGTTAAGATGAATAAGTGGCAGTGTTTGCAGCATCCAAGAGACAAATAACACACCAAGATAAAATCTACTCTTGCGGTTAATTGAATCAGTGGACTTCAGAGCATCTTTCGCCATTTTGTTGTTGATTAAATTACATATAACATTTCATTGGTATATGTCAAATAAATCTAATTAAATTTTTACGCAAGCTGCAAATATTAGTAACTAATATTGTTCATATACATTGTTTTATCACTAAAATGAAGGTATAAAGATCCTTGGAGTTCAATTTACTCTCCACTACACAATTAGTCAATTAATACAGAGCAATATAATATTGAAGTATTACAAAAATTACATTTATTAGTTGTGAACAAAAAAACAACAACATACATTACATACAACGTAATCCAAGTTCATTCATTCATTCTTCATGCTCACAAAAAAAATACAGGGGTAATAAATTAAAAATATCTTAGCAATTACATTTCCTTGAAATATAAGATACATACACAACTAACTTTTGCATTTTTTTTTAGTTTTAGTTTTTCTTTCATATTTTAAACATGCAAAAGATACGATTACAGATTAGCAAAACTCAAACTTGTCCCAAGTCGCATCTTGGGACGACTATATACATACGTGTTAAAGTATTAAAAGTAAAATATTTATAAAAATTGAGATACTTGTTCAGAATTGATAACATGCCAATATAAGCACAATCACATATCTAGAAATGTCCTACAACTTTAAAATGTCATTTATGGTGCCATTTACAGTGTAATTTTAAAAGTGTACTGATGACTGAACAAGTAGGACTTTTTATGAGACTGCTGTGGACGGATTGGTGTTCTGAGAATTTGATGTCTGTAAAGAAGTTCCTGTAGCGTCTTGTTGTATCGCTGCTTCATATGGCGGGGGTACTTGCATAGTGCATGCATAGGGTGGCATAGCAACAGCTTTTGGATACATGTTTGGTTTGGATGTCACCTGATAAATCAAACACAATATATTTTAATATTATTCACAGACAACAGATGTATTCCATTAACTGTTCTGAGCACATTTCTAAATATACAAATCGTTAGTCATTCCTACCTTACATAAAACAAACTAATTTCACTAACATACATACTCCCCCACTCATAAAGTCACCAATAATGATCTTTATAATGATAATGATCAATTTGGATGGCCAGAAGGTGACAGTGAATTGACATCAGTATACAGCAGCGCTCAAATTCCCCACTTGCATTGGTTGTATTGGTATTGACGGTAGTGGTGATGCATGTATGGACTGTGACTTACCTCACTGTACGGTGGTGGTGCAGGAAAAGCCCCCATTGGTTGTGCTGGTACTGGTACTGGTGGCGCTGATGTGGCATACATATCATGCGTGGAAACTGTCGTGCCAGCTATTATAAGTGTAGTTGGTCTTCCATTGTGTCGTTGTAATAACACATGACGTCGCCGATAATATCCACAACCACCAAAACATGCCATCAGAATAAAAACTACAATACACCTAAATAAAAACAATACAGCAAAAAGTTCAACCTTGTCTTTGTTGATAGATACCAGATATAAGTTTGAGTGTAATAAATTGGAAAGTGTCATAGACGTTAAAGCGAGGGAGTCAACACCCATTAGACTTAGTGTTTTAAGCATGTGTTGTTGTTATCATCAGAACTGCTTAATAAGTTAAGTTCAAAGAAGATTGGATGCATGAAATCAAATTTAAAACCAGGACAAACAAAGGTTATAGAGTCAGAGTAATGTAATGGTGATTCGCAATTCTTGAACTTTTCTTGAGTGTGGACGAAGTATCAAACATCCATCAACAGGTCATGTTGAAGCATAGTTTACCTATTTACACCCACTCCATGATAGTCTCAATAAACACTGATGTCCAATGACCTGGTTTCATGTTTTTGATGTTTCAAAAGAAATATGGATTACTTCAGTATTGCAACATCGTGAGTAATTACAGAACAGAAAGTGAGAAGCATGTTGCATTGTTCACCATGCACTGTCAAATTTATGTCAGTTTCTTTTGTAAAAGCACAAACCAAAGGGTTCTAGAACTACTGTACCAATCATGATTTTTATGCAATGAAACACACTTTTTACATTAATATTTTAGTAAATGTTAATCCATTGTTGATGCCCGATAAAAACACCCTCGGCCTATAACCAAAGATGCCCTCAATTTATTAAATATCTAAAAATATAGGGATGAGCTTATACCCAAAAAGGGGCTTATGACCGGGAAAATACAGTAGTAAAATCAAAGTGAAAATAGTAGAAAGTAGAAAGCATGTACACACCAAAAGTACCAGATGTTCCAAATACTTGGAGCATTATGGTATTTATTACAGCAGAAGTGAAGACAGCAATATTGCGGATACTCACAACTGGAAAGCAGAAATGAAAGAAGGAGAAAAAGAGAGAATTATGAATTATACTAACCAGAAGTACCACATGCTCCAGAAACTATAGTGATTGTAGGCCCTACAACAAGTATAATTGCAACAATACTCTGGTGGGCTACAACTGAAAAACAAAACAACAAAAAAACAGAAATAAATAAATTGACAGACTGAAATAACAACATGAAACAGTAATTGAATCTCAAATATTGTTTGCTATGTTTATTGTTTAAATTTTAAAATGCAGTGCTTGTCACATTGTGTTCGATATGGTTCAATGCGACGTATGCAAAATACATAATTAAAATGAAATCAAAAGCATACTGTGTGATGACCCCTGCCCTTTAATCGTTTCACCACGACTTTCTAGCCCAATTTTTCCTGCACTTTTTTCTTCTGGAAATGAACCCTAATTTTGAAGCCAACAGGCAAAATTTTAATCAATTTTCAGTTTTAACTGAAAAAAAATTGCCTATTTTCATCCCAATCTTCTGACTGAAGAGCAGACTATGAACACGACTATTTTGTGAATTTGTGATGAACAGGAAACTGGTGGTGAAAAGGTTAAATTTTTTTCAATGACGTCAACATCAATTTTACAAAATTGGCAACACTATAGCTTTATTCCAGTGGTAGTGCTCAAATTAAGAATACTTTCAAATAAGTGTTTACAAGGCACAGCCATGACAGTATCAGAGTGGGCTGCAGTAAGTATTGTCTGGCCTGCTTTATGCTATTTTGGCAATACCCTAATTAAAATTCATCTTTAAACTGACTTGAGAGGCTTTTCAAGAGTCCTTAACAATGATTTCTTCATATGTGCAAAAAGAAGACCCTTATGTCCCAAATACTAAGCATTTCAAGTCAAGAATGGAGTTCATCTCCACATGAGGATAATATAAAAACATCTACTAGTACTACAATGGTTATATTTGCCCTCAATCAATTTTAAGTACAAGATCTATATTGATGATGAACTGTGAGCTGTGGGCTTTAGAAGCATGAAATAAATAAAGCAAGTATTTATATTAATTGAAAAAAATAAGACTGGCTCATTAAACGAGAAGCCTTTGAATGCACAAGGTCTAAGAATTTGTGATCCACAAAATTAAAGTTTGGGATTGCTGTGGAACAGCTGAAAATTGGTTAATTATGTTAATTTGGTCATTAATATGCATACATGTATATATTACATCTGTGGGGTATCCCAGACCACCCATATACATGTACATGTACCTAATTCCATTTAAATTTGTTTTTGAGATATCTGGAAGTTGTCTAATTTATGCAAATTACATAATTAATATTCACTGATTTCAACAATAAACTAACAAGGTACATGTATTTGCATCATCCTACAGCATTATTGTATTAAGGTTCATTGCAATTTAATTAGTGTCACTGCAGATGTTTGTGGAAAAACTAAAAATTGGCTACCGTAATTTATGCAAAATAGGGAATACATTTCTGATGGCTGAAATTGGCTAATTATTAATATGCAAATTATATAAATAGTAGGTTATATTATATATAATATGTACATATTTCAACCCATTGTTTATTGTTCCTGGGCATCTATGAACTAAGTTTCATTGAAATGCAATGATTGGCTCTTGAGAAATCATTGCAACCAAGAGATATACATACGTAAATACACACACACAGGGTAACGGTAAAGACTCATGGGAGTCAATTATAGACAATAATGTCCACGTTATTGAAAGCTTCACACATACAATTTATATCAGCAACGCTGACATATAAATCATGTCATCGATATAATATCGCTCATGGCCATTTTAATATAATTTTCTCTATTTATACACTGTTCATTGTATGATGACATGCACTGTCATGGCAACCATTACATACATCTGGCAATGCTATTTCAGATTGCCAGTATTAAATGTCAGATCCAGGGAAACTAATACTATACACTATAAAGATATTGAGTATGGAAAGCCGGCCATAACACAGACATTCAGCTGTCACTGACAACAGACAGTGTTGTCCCTG